TTTTTTTTGGTTTTTCTCCAGTACCGGGAACCGAACTCACGACCTTGCGCTTGCCAGGCAGGCGCTTTTGCCGCTGAGCTAAATCCCCAGCGCCTCCCCATCTTCTGTTAAACCAGACCGTGGGGCACGCAGACATCTTGGCAGGACAGGCTGGGCAGGGGTCAGGGTGAAGGTGCAGGAGGTGGACAGCAGCAGTCCCACGAGGCTGGAAGCCAAACATTTACTCTAACCAAAAACAAGCTGCAAGTGTGTTGCCAAGGAAGGGGGAAATGTCAGTCCTCTGGTGCTGAAGCAGGGAAAGTTGGAGAATCCAGAAGTCATATTGTCCACAAGTCCGACCCAAACAGAGATAGAGGGCACCAAGGTGAATCCCTCTTCTCGGCTGTCAAAACTGCATAGAAAAGAAAGACTCAGAAAAGAACAGTAGAAGACAGGGCTAAAAGATCTACCATTTCTTTATCCCTTTTTTTCATCTTCTTTATGCTTTGTGTAAAAATTCAGTCACTACAGAGAATTTTCTAGATTGCAGATGGGCTCTGACCAGAGCAGTCAGCAGCTGCCTCCAAATAGAACTGCTTTCCTGCTGCCACCATGCTGGGTTAGATGAATGATTTTAGCCTGCAAGGTTTCCAATCTCATGATTCCTCAATGAAGTATATGTATGTATAATGGAAAAAAGAAGAAAATGGGCATCATGGGGTGTGGGTAGGTAAAAGTGGGCCAGAACTACCTGGCTTTGGGGAGGAGCTTCCAGGGAGCTCTGGAAAGAACACACTTAGGTGTCTGGCATCAGGTCCTAAACTACCATCGTTTCCCCAGTGTCCTGAGGACAGAGGAGTATAAAACCCAACAGGAATGAAAGGAAAGAGTGGCTAGGAAGGAATATTCTGCCATGTGACATTTGATCTCAGTTTATGCATCTGTAAAATGGAACCTAGAACACCTACATCACCAGGTTGTCATGAAGATTAAATGATGCCAGCGTGTTGCAGGTATTGAGTACATGGAGCTACAGTTTATTCTGTTAGGCAGTAAAGGTATCTTGTGTTTCACTTTTTGTACCTTTATTAGTACATGTTTGTAGTACAGAATGATGACATTCACGGAAGGGAACTGGTACGGGTACATAACATATTCCAACCTGTAAAGGTATTTTTATGACTATTATTTCTTCATTTTTATTATTTTGCTTTAAAGGACACAGTTTGGGGCTGGGGATTTAGCTCAGTGGCAAAACGCCTGCCTGGCAAGCTCAAGGTCGTGAGTTCGGTTCCCGGTACCAGAGAAAATCCAAAACCAAAAACAAACAAACAAACAAAAAAATAAAGGACACAGTTCCTCATAGTGACTACTCTTCAGAGGCATGTAAGGTTTCATATTAGATTTTCTTCCTCTTTCTCCACATCCCTCTCTGAATGAATCAAACCACTTTCTTGAGCGTGGCTTGGGCGGGACTTCCCTAGTCTCCAACACAGGGATTCAGCTGCCGGGACCTCTGAGAAAACAGCCGTCTTGTTACTAAGGCTCCTCTGGAGTCAAATAGAGGAGGACTGTGCCATCTGCTTACCTCTAACCGCAAAGGAGCAGATTTATTCATCAGAGCCTGTCTTGATTCCTTTTCTCATTGCTGAGACAAAATACCTGACACCCAAAGTGAAAGGAGGGAAGGTTTGTTTAGTTCACAGGTTGTAGAGGGTTCAGTCCATAATCGGCTGGCTCCAAGGCAAAATGGCAGGGAGAAGAGCAACCTTTCATGGCGGTGGAAGACAGTAAAAACAACAAGTGACCTCAACAGCATCTTTCTGACCCTTTTATACTCTATCTAGGATGCTGAGATTAGAGCAGTGCCAAAGCAATCAGTGAGCTGATCGTCTGTCCTTAATTCCAGTACCACACACTCTAGATTCAGCCGCTCCTTAAAAGCCTGCCCCCATGACTGCATGAGGCTGTAGGGACATCCAGACAGACACAACCCATTACAGAGCCCCAGGTTATCCAGTAGACATTTTTGGAACCATACACCAACTTTGGGAGACTTCAGGCCTGACCAGCAGTTGTTCCAAAAACTCTGCTGAGCAATTTGATTGTGACCTAGAACTGGCCCTGGTAGTGGGCAGTAGGAAGACTACACAGGCTGGGATGCCATTGCTGTCGGCTGACTTCCATCCTCACGAAGGCGCTGTGTCCTGTGGGGCTGCTCGTGAGCTCAGCTGGTTGACACTCCCGGAATGGTGAGACCAGTCAGGCAATGAGTTTTCCACATATCCGTGTGTGTCCATCCATCCAGACAGCTAAACATTCATCCTCCACTTGAAGACATCTGTTAAGTTCTTACAGTGCTCAGGCACCGTGTCAGGCCCTGGGGACCCAGCTCACTGTCTGCTGCGTGCCGAATGACCTACAGGTGGTGTCACCAGGTGCACAGAGCACTGTGGAAAGAGAGGACGGGTATCCAGTCCAACCTGACAGGGCCCAGGAGGCTCCCTGGAAGGTACCACTGAGCCATTTCCTGACAGGAGGCAGTAGACAGGAAAATAAAGGGAGAATGAGGGGTCCTAGAGAGGATATTGCCTGTGGGGAAAAAGACACTGAAATGGGTAATGGAATGGCGCTTGTAAAACAGCTAGTGGCTCAGAGGAGCTGGAACTAAGCGTTGTTGTAAGGATTAGCAGCATGAACGTGACCAAGCAGGCAGGCGGAAGCTGACCCTGCAGGCCCTGTCACGGTGTTGGAGCCCTATCCTGAGGCGCTGGGTGTCAGCCAGGATCTCTCAGACCAGCCATGAGAAGCTTGAGGCTTTCCTCTCTCCTGGCAAAGCTAAGGTGTCAGTGGCATACCTTAGCTGAGTTAAATCCCTTCTGGTTCTCGGTTTAGGGGGCTTTGGTCAAATAAATTAACCTTTCTGAGTCTCTCAGGCTGGTTGAGGAATTGGTGGTAACAAGGCTGACCTCCCAGGGCTCATATGAAATCTGGATGAACTATTAGACGTGAGCAGTGCTTCCGGCATTCGGCGCTTCCTTTTCAGGGAGGGTGTGTGCCGAGGCTGATGCGAACACTAGAGGGCGCACTGTCCCCACACGAAGACTCCTTCACACATGGCAGGGGACAGCTTTAGCCGGGATAAGCCTGGAAAACCCAGGTTAATGCAGTGCCCTGCCCTCCGCCAGCTAGACTCAGCCCAAAGGTCAGCTGCACGGGGACTTGCTCTCCTTGCCTGACCTGTTTTTGTTCTGCTTAGTTTTCAGTTGATGTGCTGTACTTTATACCTTGCATTTGTTTCTGAAAAACAGCAAACCATTTGTTTAAGAGCTCATTTTGAAGGTATCCCAGGGTCTGGTTGCTCACAAGTAGTATTCATGCATGCTATATATGGGAGAATTTTAAAGTCGATGTAGTTCAGGTGAATTCTGTCATTTTAAAATTCAGTCACTGTTCAGGTTGCTAACTGAAAGTTATCAATGTATAAGATTTGCTTAAGGAGACAAATGATATCTGTTATGGTTTATATCTAGGTGTCCTCCCAAAGCCTTATGTGCTCCTAGGAGGGACTATTGGGAGGTCTGGATTAAGGAGGTGCTCTACTCATGGGTGGATTAGTTCACTAATGAGTTTATAGTTAAATGTGCTGTTAGGAGGCAGGACCTGGTCAGAACAGGTACACTGGGGGGTGGGGAGATCCTGGAAGGGTCTGTCTCCCTCCCTGGCTCATCCCTTCCGTCTCTGCTTCCAGGCTGCCAGGAGGTGAGCAGCCTTGTTGTCCACCGTGTCCCTCTGCCTTGCTTGTCTTCTTCAAAGCCGGTTGACCATGGACTGACACATGAACCAAAATAAACATCTCTTCCTTTAACTGGTGGATATCAGGTATTGTGTCTCAGCGACAGGAACATCTTTCTAAAAGGGCCTCTCTGATGCTGCAGAGGGTTGGATGTCACTGTGACACCAGGTGCCAGGCCCCAGCTGTCAGGACCATCCATATCTGGGCAGACTCTACCTTCTTTATAGCTTGGGCATCATTCTAGGAACTTCGGTAGCATCTGCTCTGATCCATCTAGAAT